AGGCCCAGGCCTAAGCTTGATGGGGTGAAGCTTGTTGAGAAAGATTCACTTTGAGCGGCTCAACATTTTTTTGATTCGAAAGTGGCCGCCTGAGTGAAGTCCTAATTAAACACTTGGATGTTTTTCAGTAAGGACTAGGGACTATCAAAGGGGTCAAGGCCACCTTGCATGTTGACCCAGAAGCAATTACATGATTCTGCAGGGCCCGCCGAGTGCCATTTGCCCTATGGGCGAAAGTAGAGGCAAAAATCAGGAGGCGGGAAAGTGAAGGAATCATCAAACCACTGAAATTGGCAGAATGGGTAGCACCGGTCATACCAATTGTGAAGCTCGACATGTCGGTTTGTGGGGATTTTAAACAAATACTAAACCTCTTTTTGTAGCTGGATAATCAACAAGTAACAATTTATTCATCTAACTGTAACAGTGAACAAATTAATTAAACTATTAACAAACCCAATAAATCCCCTCTAACTACTAACTATTTCAAAATAAAGCAAGATTCTAATGGTATACTGTTCCAATAAACACAGATCCAACACATATATAAAAAAAATTAATCTCTCAAAATTACAGCCAGGTTACGTGTCTTCCAGAATGTTCTGTGCCTTCTCCATCAATTCTTCTGTCTAGTTGTGCCATTGGTACTGTTATTATTTAGATGGTGCTTTCACTAAGACATAGAGGAGGCTGTGAGAGCCAGTGATTCTCTCTTGAGAGCTGAGGGCCATTAGCTGTGATGGATGGCACCTAGCTCTGGGGTCTTTGTCCAACTGCCCCCTTTTTTCTATACCCTTGATAACATATCAATATTTCTTACAATAGGATCGGTCCTATGTTATCAAAGCCATCAGACTTTAATAGATTTTTGGTATCTAAGTACCTGGTTCAAATTGATTGGCTAAATTCAAAAGCCTGTTATCTTGTTAAAAACTGCTAACTGTTCAGCCTTTCGATAAAAATGTTTCAATTCAGGCACTCTCTGTGTACTTGCACACTTTCAAGCTGCTGCTCACAGACATCCATTTTAAATCTCTAAGCACAGAAAATAGCTGTTCAATTCATCTGCCATCTCTATATCTTCCATTTCTAATTCCCAATCTCATTTCCTATAGGACTATGACTTATGTTGATATTTCAAATATGACTGCCAAACCTTCCTTCTCTGTCTGGGTGTATTAACGCAGTACATTAACCAAAATTCTGGATGCATACGCTATTGGGCGTTCCTTTCCATTGGGCCACCTATGAGCTAAAACTACCCCGCTGCCGTAAGTGGAGGCATTGCACATCACTTGGGATTATAGTGTGCCAAGACCTTAAAGGATGATAGCTGTTTCTTCACTTCCCTGAAAGCTGTGGCTTGGCTATGCGACCATTTGCAAGGCTCACCCTCTTTTTTAAGAGTTGATGCAAAGGTGCCAGGATGGAGGCCAGGTTATGTATGAACATTCCGTAAGAATTCACCAGCCTAAGGAAAGACCTAAGGTCTAGTACAGATGTGGGAGCCAGGGCTCCTTTGATCACCATCACTTTATCTTCCAATGGGTATTACCCAGTCTTGTCGACTCTAGTCAAAGCAGGTCACTTGCGGTGTCTGGAACACACATTTTCCCCTTCTAAAGCATACACCCACCTGGGCGAAAAATCTAAAGATTATGTCCAAGTTCTCTAAGTGCTCCTTATTGGTCTTCCCTGTTATTAACACATAATCTACATAAATGATGACCTGGGTAAATCTTGCAAAATGTGCTCCATTGTCCACTGAAAAATTTCACAGGCTGATGATACCCCAAAATGGTAGCATCAATCTCTGTTGACCCCCCTCTGAGAACTAAAACCAAAACACCCAGAGAGGAGCACCTTGCCCTATAATCTGTAAAAGGATTGTGAAAAGTGACTGTCAGGGATTTAGTTTATTGAACCATTAGAGCTGCCTCTTGCAGGCAGACACAGTGCTGGTGGTACCACCACTGGAGGAGTCGATAATGATTTTAAAACTTCCTGGATACACTTCCAGCCACAGCTGACAATATCAAACTTTGGATGCAGAAAGATCTGATCCTGGCAAAACTGAAACAGCTGGTGGTGACAGGAGAAACCAAAGGGCCATGACAACCATAATTGAAACCTTTTTGGACCCGGAGAGACCAGATCACAGTACAGGATGGCATATTATTATGGGGAGCAAGAATGATTGTCCTGAGCAAAGGTCACAGCCAGATACTGGCTGAACTCCACCAGGATCAGCCAGAGGTTTCCAAAATGAAGATGTTGGCGAGAAATTATGTCTGGTAGCCAGGGTTGAACGCAGACATAGTTGCATTGGTGCAGCAGTGCCCAGAGGACAAAATTTACCACCAGCAGCACCCCCATATTCATGGGGAATGGTTGGGTAAACCTGGACTCAGTTACACATCAGCTATGCAGGTCCTTTCATGGGCTCAATGTTCTTAGTCATTGTGGACGCCCAGTCAAAGTGGCTGGATGTGCATAGAGTTCATTCATCAAACACAGGGTCAACAATTGAAAAACTCTGTGCATCTTTTGCAATGCATGAACTCATAGAAGTGTTGGTCACAGATAATGGGCCATCATTTACCATCAGGGAACTTGACTATTTCCTAAAGTTGAACGGCATTCGACATTTAAGGACAGCTCCATTTCATTCATCATCCAATGGTCTGGCAGAAAGAGCAGTCCAAACATTGAAGGCAAGCTTAAAGAAACAGCTTACAGCTTCACTAGATACCAACTGTCCCAGTTTCCATTTGATTATAGGACCACCCCTCATGCAACTACAGAGATAGCACCAGCAGAGATGCACTGTCAGTTGTGAAATTCGCTGATTAAACCCTAAGAGGAAAATCATAAATTCTTTTTCTCTATGTGGAGGTTCTGATTTTTCTATTCTCACTGTATTTGTCCAGCTTTCTCACCAATGCCCACACTGCTCAAGGGAGTGGAAAATTCTATCTAGTTTTGACCAGTCGTCTTTATTAATCTCAGCCAAGGGGTCAGCAAAGTGACAACAATCGATGTCCAAATTCCGAGGCTCAGTGGGAAAGGGAAACATCAAACAGGGTGTCTGCTCCTAATCACATTAAAGACAATTTTACAGAATTGTGTGCCTCTCTGTGCTCCTCAGCCATCATCTCATGCAATACATGAAAAGTGGCTGCATGAGCACTGTATTGAAAGGCTGTTGTCATGATATATAGCCATACACATTAGTGCATTGACAAAAGGAAGGAGAAATTTGGGGAATGTGTCTGACAGGAACTGTGATTGATATAAATTGAATGTGCAACAACTGATGGCTGTGCCATACAAACATATGACTTAGGAATGGGTGCAGGTCCTTTGACCAGCCCTAGGCTGCTCCAGTATTCAATACAACCATGGCTGATCTGATTGTGGCCTCAATTCCATATTCCCAGCTCCTCACCCCAATAATCATTGATTCTCTTGTTGTATGAGAATCTATCCACCTTGCCCTCTCACTGATCCCTGAGGAAGAGTGTTCCAAAGACTCGTAAGCATTGTGAGAGAAAACATCTTCAACTCTGATTTAATTGATCAATCCTTAGTTTTGAAAGATGTCACCTAGTTCCATCCTCTGCCACAAGATGGCGGTACAGGGGTTATCATCAGTTTTGGCTGCAAATCATTAACAGAATGGCTAACTGTGCAGATATTACAGGGCTGACAAGAATGGTAGACACCCAAAGCTGAGCAGAAAAAGCTACAAGGGAATTTAAATACCATTGGGAATTGGGCAAATAATGTTAGATCAAATTGAACATAGAGCGCTTCACATGGATATAAAAAAATCCAGGAAAGAACTAGTACTTGTATCAGAAGAAAATAAGTGTGCATGTAAAGTGAGAGAGAGCTGGGGTCCTGACTGACAACAAAATTCAAGCTATTGTTAACGTGGTTTCAGCAGCCACCTTATTTAGTACACTTGGGATCTTAAATGTTTCAATTATATTGACCTCTCATTCTTCTAAATTCCAATGGATACAGGCCCTGCTCGCAGGACTTTATTCTTATAAAATAGCACCTCACAGTATCAGTCAAGTGAATCTTCCCTAAAGTAACATGTGTGTATCCTTTCCTAAATAAAACCAAAATTGTACACAGTAGTCTGAATGTGGTCTCACCAATGATCTATACAACTGTAGCAAAGCATCCCTAATTTCATATTTAATTCCCATTGCAATAAAAGACAACAGTTCATTTGTCTTTCTAGTCACTTGCTGTATTTGCACACTAACGTTGTGTGATTTGTGTACTGGACCACCAGATCCCTCTGTATCTCTGAGTTCTGCGATCTACCTACTTTAAAAAAAACATACTGCTTTTCAATTCTTCCTGCGAAAGAGAACAAGTTCACTTTTTCCCATATTATACTTCATTTGCTTTTTTTTTTGCCCCTGACTTATCTATATTCTTTTGAAGAGTCTTCATGTCCTCTTTACAACATACTTTCCTACCTGTCCTTTTATCATCAGCAAATTTAACAACCGTGCATTCGGCCTCTTCATCCAAGTCATTAATGTAAATAATAACAAGTTGAGACCACAATACTGATCCCTGCACTATACTACCTATTTACATCCTGCTGACCCAAAAATGACCTATTCTCTGCTTCCTATTAGTCAACCAATCTTCTACTCATATAAATATGTGCCCCCTATAGCATCAGTTCTTACCTTCCGCCTGATAAGTTCTTCTGGACTTCTATCGATTTTCCACTGGGGTCAATAGCCTCCAGGGTTAGAAACAACAGCAAAATCCTGCCAAATTATTTGAATAACAATATAAACCTGACTGAACGAAAATTACAAATTACAAATGCCTGTAGCTACCACACTAATTTATACTCAAAGGTAAAGAATTTTTTTTAGTACTATTTTTTGTTATTGTAATGTTGGTAAGTACAGATGAGATGTGCCTAGAAATGTGTCAAACCCTGTCAGTTGATTTCCTTTCAGATTTACAGCCTGTCTGCTATGAAGAGCCAGATCACTGGTGCTCTATCGTTTATTATGAACTAAACAATAGAGTTGGAGAGGCTTTCCATGCATCAGCAACAAGCTTACTGGTTGATGGATTTACAGATCCCTCCAATAATAAGAACAGGTTCTGCCTTGGGCTGCTGTCAAATGTAAATCGAAATTCTACAATTGAAAACACCAGGCGGCACATTGGAAAAGGTCAGGTCCATAAATAAACGCTTTTTCTCTTCAAAAGGCTATGCGTTGTTAAACCTAGAATTTTCTTAGTTTTTTTAGATTTTTCCCTTCAAATCTCCTCAGAAATGTACGTCACTCTTCTGAAACCAACTTGATGGAATCAGGAACTTATCTGTCAGGAAAAGTGTAAAAAAGGGTTGAGAAATGCGGACATGTTGTGAAAGACAGTGCTAAGGGATTACCATCCAAAAATCATAATAACTAGTCTGGCAGTGTGTGCCCTGGATAACACACAAGAATGCAGCACACTTAACTATGCAGTTACAAGCCTCAGTGTCTCAGGCTGTACCAATGCACATCACATAAATTGAATTACTTTAAATTGCAATGACTGTTACTATGGAAGTGGATATGGCTTCCATTATACAAAAATCTCCTCCTCACAAACAACAATGACATGAATGTGCTTGGTAGTGGTGATTGAGGAAACACACTGGGAGAATTCACTATTCTTCCTCAAATAAATCCATTGAATTTCTAACATTCACCTGAACAGGCAGTTCAGTTTAAACTTTAGTTTCCACCATATAGTTTACTAGAAATATAAAACAGAACTGCATAAATTCACTGTAAAATAAACTTTTGATTAAGGGTTTGGATTCTCAGATGATATTTGTTCTCAGGGTTAACTGCAGAATTGCAAATATAGTGGGACAACCAAATGGTATAGTGCATTCATACATTGGCAATCAGTGGATATCATATATAGGTTGAGACATCTCAAGTGAAGATTAAAAGTAGAGCTATTTCATTTGGCCTTTAAAATTAAAGGTACATTTTTCCATGTTCAATTTTTGTTTGCATCATTAATTGCAACTAATGCATTCATTTCAAATCCCGAGTTGTCCTGAAAAGATGGCGGTAGGTGTTCTTCCTGAATTATTGCAGGCTTTTTAGTGACAATACTCTACCAGATGTAATTCAGCCTCTGGAATAGAGTGGGAGTTGCTACTTCTGCTTTCTGACACAGTGTATGTGTAAGAGCAGATGATGAGGGAAAAGTCATCAATAGGCTCATTATTAGAGTTTTTGAATCGTGTTCCTGGATTGCCTCTAAGTTCAAAAAGCTAGGTAACTGAAGCTGTACATTCTTAAAATAAATCATATTTAGTAAAAAAAATTCCTTTTGGAGTTTTCATAGTACTCATTTTTGAGAGAAAGATTCTTAGGCAAACAGACGTAATAAATACTTTGAAAAAATCTTCCAGGTGTTCATCTGTATTATGTTGGTGGTGAGGTTTACGCTGAATGCTTGAGTGAAAGCAGTATCTTTGTCCAGAGTCGCAACTGCAACTATCAACATGGCTTTCATCCAACTACCGTTTGCAAGATTCCCAGTGGTTGTAGCCTCAAGATATTCAATAACCAGCTCTTTGCCCAGCTCCTAGCACAATCTGTGAATCATGGATTTGAGGTGGTCTATGAATTGACAAAAATGTGCACAATTCGCATGAGCTTTGTGAAAGTAAGTACGTAATTGTTATTTTAGAGCAATGGTTTTTTATTATGTATAGTTGATGATATCCAATACCCAAAAAGTTCATGTTATTAAAGGCATATTCTACTACTGTTAATACACTATGGAATTCACGCTACAAAAAAAGATTTTCCATTGATGCTATTTAGTTTAATTTTCAGAAATTATAGCTATAAGTAACAATTAGTGGTATTTAATCTGTTTTGTGGATTTTAACTTTTGCTCACTGCCAGGTCTATTATTTTAATAAGATAAGTATTTAGTCATTGTTTAGCACGCTTGGGGAATAGAAGCTGAATGGTGGATTAGAACTATTAATTATGTAAAATGTAAACTTGTATATAACTTCTTAATCCTTATTCAGGGGTTGCTGTGTACTTTAGGCCACTACGTCTTTTAGACCTTAACAATAGCTTATTTTAATAAACCAAACTAATAGGAGAGTAGATTTTTGGATTTCACCCATAAACAACCCAAACTCAGCCCCACCCCAAACAAACCAATGGCTGAATGCCTGAAGCAACATCCGTTTTCAGTCCATCATTTTGACTGTTGCCAATGAGGCTGCTGAAGTGGTAGGGGAGGAGTAAACTGGCCGGCAGTCATACTTCAACCTGAATTTGAACATAGAGCCAGCAGCAAAGTGGAATATATTTGTGGAAGGTGCTGAATCCTTTAAATTGGATCCAGGTAGCAAAGTTGGTTTGTCAGCGAGGATTTAGTTAGGATTATGAGGATCAACAAGTTGAACAAGGAGGAGATGGATCTCACAGAGAACACGAGCTTGAGGCAAGACAGAAGACAAACTACAGAGCGATTGAGGATGGGGTAGAAGAGGAACCTTTCTGGCACAGGCAGCTGAACAAATTGTCACTAAGATTGAGACTAAGAAGGCCATTAACTTGTTTCTTTTATCAATGGAGGTGAGGCTCGAGAAGGTAAGGAAGAGGAATTAAGGAAGAAACAAAAATTGCCTTTGCATGGGTGGCACAGTGACACTGCTGCCTCACAGCACCATGGACCCAAGTCCGATTCCAGCCTTGGGTGACTGTGTGGAGTTTACATGGTCTCCCCATGTCTGCGTGGGTTTCAGCCATATGCTGCAGTTTTCTCCCAAGGTCCAAAGATTTGTAGGTTAGGTGGATTGGCAATGCTAAACTGCTCCATAGTGTTCAGGGATGTGCAGGCTAAGTGGATTAGCCATGGTAAATGAGGGGTTATGGGGAAAAAGTGGGATGTTGTTAGGAGGGTCGGCGTGGAATGGGTTGAATGGCCTCTATCTGCACTGTAGGGATTCCATGATTCCATAAATATTGAGCAGTTCTATCAAAAATGAGCTCATGTGGATGCTGCTTTATGATCAAGCCAAATCTTGGGCTTAACAAATTGCATGCCATAGAAATTCTAACCTGCATTGCATGGTCAAGAGAATGTAGATACTTGTTTTATCAGGCACAAGCAGAGTTGGAGAATATAATGGTTTTACTGGGAGTGAGGCATCAACAGTAGAGAAAAGAACATGATGGAGCAGATAGGTGGCTGCAGCTGTGAGAAACAGAGGGGAAAGGCTAGACAGCTAGAAGTTTGAAAGTGCCAATGTATGTGAGTTGAGGAAGGATCGTGTTGCAGGGGGATGCAATGGGATCCTGCCATCCAGAGGGTGGGAGAGGGGGGTTAGGGGGCACAGTGAAATTCAAGGAAGGGATCAGACTTGGTTTTGTTAGCTGCTGAATCCAAGATAGACAAACAGGAGGCTGGAAGAACACAGCAAGCCCAGCAGCATCTGGAGGAAAGGAAAAGTCAATGTTTCGGATGTTACCCTTCTTCAGGACTGCCTGGTTTGCTGTGTTCTTCCAGCCTCCTGGTTGTATACGTCAGATTTGATTTTGTCATTGATTAATATGAATGGAATATACATGAAATGGCAAAATCGAAGCAGTGGCCCCGAATATGGATCAACAAGTTTATAAAGTTAGATAGACGTTATGGAGGGCAGTGAACACAGATTGAGTTGAGATGAATTGAGATAGAAGCTGAAATCATCGAGGGCTAAATCATTCAGTGTAGACACCAAGGAAAAACATCAGAGGTTATTTCTGAAAGTAACTTGACATGAGTAAGTAGAACAGAACTAAGTGATTATGCCTAGACAAGCTGCAGAGAAAGTGGTCAATGACTAGTATGGCTTACAATGCTATACTCAAATATCTACCAATAGCAGCAGCAATCTTTAAACATGCAGATCACAATTGGCCACAACACTACAAAGCAATACTAATTGCTTTGTACTAATACTAATTGCGTTGGGGAGGCAATGGCCTCGTGGTATTATTGCTAGACTGTTAATCCTGAGACCCAGATAACGTTCTGGGGACCTGCCACGGCAGATGGTGGAATTTGAATTCAATAAATATCTGGAATTAAGAATCTAATGATGACGATGAATCCATTGCCAATTGTCAGGAAAAACCCATTTGGTTCACTAATGCCCTTTAGGAAAGGAAACTGCCATCCTTACCTGGTGTGGCCTACACGTGACTCCAGACCCACAGTAATGTGGTTGACTCTGAACTGCCCTCTGGGCAATAAATGCTGACCTAGTCAGTGATGCCCTCATCCCATGAATGAATAAAGGTAATGGTTAAGGTGTGAGATGTTGCATTTTGGTAAGGCAAACCAGGGCAGGACATATATAGTTGATTTAGGGCCCTGGGGAGTGTTGCCAAACAAAGAAACCTTGGGGCGTAGGTGCATAGTTCCTTGAAAGTGGAGTCACAGGTGGACAGGGTGGTGAAGAAGTAGTTTGTTAGGCTTGCCTATATTGGTCAGTGCATTGAGTATAGCAGTTGGGAGGTCATGTTGCAGCTGTACAGGGCATTGGTTGGGCCACTTTTGGAATACTGCATTCAATTCTGGTCTCCCTGCTATAAGAAAGATGTTGTTAAACTTGAAAGAGTTCAGGAAATATTTACAAAAGTATTGCTGGGATTAGAAGGTTTGAGGTATAGTGAGAGGTGAATAGGCTGGGGCTTTTCTCCCTGGAACATCAGAGGCTGAGGGGTGACCCTATAGAGGTTTTTAAAATCAGGAGGGGCATGGATAGGGTGAATAGTCAAGGTCTTTTTCCCAGGGTAGGGGATATCCAAAACTAAATGGCATAGGTTTAAGGTGAAAGGGGAAAGATTTAAAAGGGACCTGAGTGGTAACTTTTTCACACAGAGAGTGGTGTGTATGGAATGAGCTGCCAGACGAAGTGGTGGAGGCTGGTACAATTACAACATTTAAAAGGTATCTGGATGGGTACAAGAATATGAAGGGTTTAGGGGGATATGGGCCAAATGCTGGCAAATGGGACTAGTTCAGTTTAGGATACCTGGTCAGTGCAGACGAGTTGGACCTAAGGTTCTGTTTTCATGCTGTATGACTCTATAATTCTATGGTCATGTTATATCATTTGTGAATTAGTAATAGAGCATTTAACATAAGCTGGCACTTAAGACTGCCCACATGTTGAATTCATGGAATTGAAGGTCAGTCATTTCCCAGTGATTCCCCATGTGAATCAATCTCCACGCTTCTATTGGACTGCTTTTGGAGAACCATTTTCAGGAACCTCATAAAAGATAGTAACTAAATGTTATGAAAATGCATTTTAGATAAATAAAACACAAAAGGAAATCTGCACATATAAAACTGACTTTTTTTTTAATCATTTCAGGGCTGGGGAGCAGAGTACCATCGTCAAGACGTTACAAGCACTCCCTGCTGGATAGAGGTTCATCTGCATGGTCCCTTACAGTGGCTGGATAAAGTTCTAACACAGATGGGCTCACCTCACAATCCCATATCTTCAGTCTCTTAATATAACTGTATATCATCTGCCTTATCGCAAAATAAAATTGGCAACAGTTAGAACGAATGCATGCAATGTATATGAGCATTTCCTAGTTTTATATGTGCCATTTATTTTTAATTATTGCATGTTACATTTGGCTTATTAATCCTCATATCTCATACAGTGTTCTGTCAATTAAGGTGTAGCAAATTTCTATGTGAAATACAAGCAACCTTCAGTTAAATTAGTTGACCTTGGCAAGTCAAGAGCTGCTTTAACTTATTGTTGGTGATTACAACTATTCCTCAGGGTACTTTTAAACGCACATACGATTTCTTAACCTTGTTAGAAACACCTAAGAAAGGAAAACAAAATGCAGATGGTGGGTACTCATGTGTTCATATATTTATTAAAGGTTGCAATGAAAAAATAGGGAATTCTGAATGAATTAGACTTAAATATTAAATGATGTAACAACTTGAAGTACCAATCTGATGTTTTTAAAATATAATCTTGTATTTTATAGCAACTTAATCTAACAATTTAAACCTGCACTTTTAAGTTTAAAATTCCACACGACAAATATATATTGGATCTATTTAGAGTAATTGAGTAATTCAGCACAGAAACAAGCCTTTTGGCCCAACTCAATCATGCCCACCAGGTTTCCTAAACCGGACTAGGTCCCATTTGCCTTCATTTGGCCCGTATCCCTCTAAACCTTTCCTATCCATGAACCTGTCCAAATGCTTTAAATGTTGTAATTGTACTCTCTTCCACCATTCCCTGGCAACTTATTCCATAAACGTACCACCATCTACGTGAAAAAGTTGCCCCCACGTCCCTTTAAATTTTTCCCGTCTCACCTTAAAACTGTCCTCTAGTTTTGAACTCCCCTACCCAGGGGAAAAGATCTTAGCTATTCACCTTATCTACACCCCTCATGATTTTAAAAACATCTATAAAGTCATCCCTCCTACTCTTCAGGGAAAAAGTCCTAGCCTATCCATCCTGTCCTTATAACTCAAACCTTCTTGTCTTGGTAACATCCTTGTTAATGTTTGTTGTACTCTTTCCAGTTTACTAACATTCTTCCAAAAGCAGGGTGATGCAGTACTCCAAATGTGGTCTTCCCAATGTTTTGTACAGCTGTAACATGACATCCCAACTCCTGTACTCAATGCTCTAACCAATGAAGGAAGGACGTTCCAGGGTTTTGAACCAGCCATAGTTTAAAAAATAGTATAATTCCAAGTCAGTGGCATATGACTTGGAGGTGAACTTTTAGATGGTGGTGTCCCCATGCATTTATTGACCTTATCCTTCTGGTTAGTCGAGGTAAGGAGCTTGGAAAGTGCTATTGAAGGTGCCTTGGACTTCCTGCAGTGCACATGTTGAGTGTTAAATGGTACATGCTGCTACACTCTATACTGGTGATTGAGGGAGTCAATGTTTAAGGTGGTAAATAAGATGCCAGTCAAGTAGATGACTTTGTTCTGTAAGATATTGAGCTTCTTGTTGGTATTCCATTTGCCAAGACAAATTAGTGGGAAATATTCCATCGCATTCCTGATTTATGCCTTGCAGATAGTCAGATGAGTTACCATGGAATTCTCAGACGCTGACCTGCTCATTGAATTTATATAGCTGATCTAGTTAAGCTTCTGGTAAATAATAATCTCCAGGCTGTTGAAAGTGGGGGTTTCAGCAATGATAATATTTTGAACTTCAAGGGGAAATAGTAAGGTTCTCTTTTTGGAAGTGGTAATTGTTTGGTACTTTTGTGGGGGAAATGTGACGTCAATAACACAAGAGAAAGGGATGCCCTAAATTCAGAAAACCAGGATATAGAAACAGCCTGGGTAGATATGAAGAATGCCAAAGGTAAGCAGTTACTTACGGGAGGTGTGTAATCCACATGTAGACTGGAAATGTCAGACGGAAAGCAGTAATCTTGATGAGGAATTCATTGAATATTTTTGAGACAATTTCTTAGACCAGTTCGTTTGACACCAATCAGACAGCAGGTTATAATAGACTTTGTTTAACCAACGAGATAGGATCAATTACTGACCTCACAATAAAATTGTCCTTCGTAGCAGTGACCATAATATGACTGAATGTTACATACAGTTTAAGGGGCAATTAAGGGCATGAAAGTGGAGCTAGCAAAAATGAACTAGCAATTTAGGTTAAGGGATAGGTTAATAGAGTTGCAGTAGCAAACATTTAACAGAATATTCCAAAAAGCACAAAGCAAACATTCCAACAAATAAGACAAGCTCTAAGGAATGGACAAGCTATCCGTGGTTAACAAAAAAGTCAAAGATAGTATCAAACGCAAAGAAGAGAGATATAATTGTGCAAAGATAGATGGCAGACCAGAGATTAAGTAGAATATAAAAACAGCAAAGAATGACTAAAAGATTAACAAGGAGGGGAAAAGTGGAATACGAGAGAAAGTTAGCCAAAAGTATAAAGAAGAAAACGTTTTTCCAGATATTATAAAAAGGGAAAGAGTTATCAACATAAGTCGTAGTCCTATAGGAAAGGAGTGTGGGAATTAGAAATGGAAGATATAGAGATGGCAGATGAATTGAACAGATATTTTCTGTGGGATTTCATCAGAAAGAACACAAGCAACATCCCAGAAATAGCTGTAAATCAGGAATTGAAAGGGAGGAAGGAACACAAGAAAATTAGTAAATTGTTGGAAATGAGAGTTGACAAATCCCCAGGTCCTGAGTTTTGCATCCTGAGGTCTTAAAAGAAATAGCTAGTGAGATGACACATTGGCTTTAATTTTCCAAACTGGTTAGACTTGGGGAAGGTTTGTTTAGATTTGAATAAACATTAGCTATTTTCTAAAAGGGAGGGAGGCAGAAAGCAGGAAGCTACAAGCCAGTTAGCTTAACATCCATCATAGGGAAATTGTTAGACTTTTTGTTAAAGGCATAATACAGCATTTGAATAAGTTCAAAGTAATCAGGAAAAGGGGTTTTGTCAAGCAGAAATCATGTTTAACTAATTTATCGGAGGTCTCTGAAGTAAATAAAGGGGAACCAGTGAATGTATTGTACATAGATTTCCAGAAGGCATTTGATAAAGTACCAAATGGAAGGTTATTGCAGAAAATAAAAGCTCGTGGTATTTCGGTAATATTGGCATGGATAGAAGATTGGCTGGCTAATAGGAAGCAAAGAGTAGGAATAGATAAATGTCTTAGTGCATGAATTGTAGGTTAGCATGCAGGTACAGCAAGTAATCAGGACAGCTAATAATGTTTTTCTTATTGCGAGTGGAATTAAATGCAAGATTTGGGAGGTTATGCTTCAGGCATTGATAAAACCACATCTGGAATACTGTGAACAGTACTGGTCACTGTACTTATGGATGGATGTTAATACGTTGGAAGCCGTTTGGAGACAATTTACTAGACTAATACCTGGAATGAGTGGATTGCCTTATGTGAAAAGGCTACACAGGCTAGGCCTGCATCTGCTGGAACTTCTGAAGAGTTAGAGGTGACTTAATTATATGCAAGATCCTGAGAGGACCTAACCAGGTGAATGTTGAAAGGATGCTTTGTCCACTTGTGGGAGAATCTAGAACTAGGGGTCATAGTTTAAAACTAAGGGGTCGCCCATTTAAGACAGAGATGAGGAAATATTTTTTCTGAGGAATGAGAATCATTAGAACTCCCTTCGTCAAAAGGCAGTGAATGCAGAATTTTTAAATATTCTGAAGACAGAAGTAGATAGATTCATGATTACCAAGGGAATGAAAAATTATCAGGGTTATGCAAGAATTTAAGTTAAAATCAGATCTGCCACATTCTTATTGCTTCTGCTTACTGCTTCTGCTCTTCTACACACAGTAATTCTGTGTCATGACTTCACCAGATTAGCAGTTCGTGTTGATGTATGTCTAATGCTGTTCCTTCCTTGCCTCCTGACACTCCTTATTGAACCAAGGTGGTCCTCTGGCTTGTTCATAAGGGTCATGAGGTATAGTGTGACCAAGAAGTTACAAATATTTGGTGAATACCATTCTGCTGATGGACCATAGTACCTCTTGGATAACTACTTTTGAGCTGCTAAACTAGATCGCTTCAGAATAGGTCAAGCACATTAACAGTGCCACACCACACGATGGAGGACATCCTAAGACTTAATTTTCAATAAGAGTGATGGTCATTCAACCAATACTGTCATGGATAAGTGCACTTGGAACACATGGATTAGCAAAGGAAAGACTGCAAATAGTGAAAGTGATATTTCAGCTGTCTTCATTTAGGGAACTAGAAGTTTCTCGTTATCAACAATTGGAAAGAGGTGAAGCAATTTAAGACAGTGAAACCACAGAAAATATAGGATGCAGATCAAATAAGCAGAAAGATTCATAACGAAGGTGCTGGTCGGCTGGCCAACCCCATAAGTCAATGGATGATGGTCTACCTGATCTAACAGTAAATTAATAAATTAAGCAATTATGCTCACACTACATTTGTTTATTTCTCTTCAGCTTCTTTTAAGACCATGCAACCATTTAAGCTATTGGGAAATTGGCAAACCTTAGTATTAATCCTATTCTCCTACTTGCATCAGAGCGTATTTCACAATAAAATCAACAGATGTTTGTTTTGAGGATTTATGCAATTCCTATTTTAACAATCACTGAATCTCCTCAACTGAGGAAGGGTCACCGGACCCAAAACATTAACTCTGTTTTTTCCTTCACAGATGCTGCCAGACCTGCTGAGCTTCTCCAGCAACTTTATTTTTGTTCCTCAACACTGTGTACTGTCATTGTTACTTTTCATTCTCTTATACTCCATAGAGTATGATAGTAGACTGAGCTTGAACTTTGCTGATATTACAGTACTTGTGGGTCTTTATTTCTGATAACTATAGGAATGTGATGGAGATGGAGAATTTTCTCAAACTAAACACAAGTAAAACAAAAGAACTAGTTGTAGACTTCAGGAAGAAGCCAGTCAATTACATTTCCTGTGAAGATTCATGATGTGGCCATTAAAATATGTAATCACAACAGGTATTTAGGTGTTAAAGTGGAGTTAATCTTACAACTGTGAAACTGCTATATAAAATAGTAGCTAAGGGTGCTATTGTTTTTTTTTGGAAGCCTCATTGAATGTGTTAGGAAATCAGACTGTTTCTAAGTTTACAGAAATTGCTAGTCCAGACAGGAAGGCTATTTGATGAACTGATCTTCCTCAAAAAAAATCTGCTCTCTGAGAGTTTTGACAAAAGTAGTATCATGAACATTGAGGATCACCTTGTGTCAGTATTACTGTTGGATGTAATCAGCAAATGGCTACAATTCCTCAGATGCAGAATAAATCAGCTCCTGAACACTTTAGTACCCTGTTCTCGAAGAATGTTTAACAGGAGCTGATGTATGGATGAGAATATGTATAACAGAAGTTCTTATGAAAAGACACCAGATGCAAAACGTTAACTCTGCTTTTTTCCCCAATTGATGCTGCCAGACCTGCTGAGTTATCCAGCAATTTCTGTTTTAGTTTCAGGTCTCCAGCATCCGAAGTTCTTTGTTTTATTTTAGTTGTTCAAAACAATTGTTTCCAATATTCTCTAAATAAATTGATCCCATTATTAGGCAGTTAAGTTTGGCATGTTACCAATTTGTACAGACCTGAAAATTCCCAGGTTTGGCAAATTAATTTACGATATTCAGATACTGTATCAGGACATTACAAATGATGGTGGTTAGAGAGGGAATAAAACAATGTCACAATTTTCCACTGCTAAATCCTATCAAGATCCATATCTTAAGACAGTATTGAGATTGATGATTGCATCCAAGGTACTCTCTCAAGTAACAACGTAGGGATATAACTAGAAGGCCTCTAGCTCTCATCAACAGTGATATCCTGTTGTACAAGAAGTGTGTGTGTGTGTTGGGACTGGGGAGGTGATTGGACTCCAGTGAAGAAACATTGTGCCTATGTCTTACTGTGTATAAATGGCATAATGATGTCCTCTAAATCCATTCTAATGTGTTTAAATTTTTATGCTAATCACATAGACTGCCTTAAGGTCTACAGAACAATGATTCTTCCGTGACTTCTCTGGCTGGAGTACAAATCAAGAATCACAGATTAACAACAGAGTTTCTCATCAACACAACCAGAGGCTAGTATTAAATTGACAGAATCTATTTCTTTGAAGTTAATAAAGGAACCAGACATAAGAAGCTACATATCCATACTTTATTTGAAAATCAATATTACAAAATTTGGTCAAATACCAGGTTTAATACATTGTAAGTAAAATTCACCTTTTAGATATCCAACAAAAATCACGTCTGAAGTTATTTAATACATTTAATAATCTAGTAAACATACATTTCTAGAAATTCAAAGGTTCTCTTTCCTAATCATATCCAATTTCAAACTGAATGAATGTAACAGTTTACTGCAGTGTTTCATACCTGAAAAGCATCTGGGAATTAAAAATCATGCTTGCTTCTATAAAACAGCATTTGTATTCAATATGGATGCCATAATTATTTATTTATCACAACAGAAGACTGGCTATGTGAATGTAAAAGAGGAAGAACCTATTGAAAAATTGTGAGGAAGATGAAGAAAAATTTTATTCCTGTTTCTACTAGGAATTTCTGCATTGTGATTAATCATATCGTGCCTGCGGCCAACTTTAGCCTTGTTAATTTAAGAGTCTGGAGTGGATGAAAATCTCCTTGATTTTAAGAATTGGCAGGATTTGCAAGATGACAGCATCCACAATCTCTACCACCCATAAGGACAAGAACAGGTACAGAGGAATACCACCACATGGACACTCCCCTCTAAGCCACTCACCATCCTGACTTCAAACTATATTGTCATTCCTTCACTGGTGCTGGGTCAAAATTTTAGAATTCATTTCCTAACAGTACTTCCTACACATCAAGGACTAAGTAGTTTAAGATAGCAATTCATCACTATCTTCAGGGCAATAACAGTTTGCAAGAATTTTTGGCCTAGCCAGCAATGCCCACGTTCCCTTGAACAAATATTTAAAAAATGCACAGTTCAAACCTTAAGTTCTGAATGAGCTTTGACACAGCAGAAATCAGCTCAGATTTTGCAATTTGCTTTAAGATAAAAAAAAGTCAGTGCTTTTCTGTAACAATGCATGACATATTGTTACAAACTCTACTGGCTTCCTGTAACCCAAGTGCTTTCCAATATGCAGTATCAACCAATAAAAGTATTCTTGAAATCCCAACATTCTTCCACACTATTCTATTTTCAGAAGCCAAATAACCACTCTTCTTTTAAATAGACCTTTTAAAATCTACTTGCTAATCCAACTCTTCTCATTTTTGCTTGCTCAGGATCCACTACATTTTCTACCTCAGATGACTTCATATACAGCATTATGAAAGCAACAGTTTTTGTTTACATTGATGGTACAGGGGCAACAGAGCTTTATTTTACACTCAGCCACTCTATCCACTTTGAAAATATCCAGTGACAATACTAGGTCCTGTAATAGTAAACTGCTCCATTTTATACCATCATCCCTCAACCTCATCTTAATTCAGGTTCAAATTACCAGTCAGGAATTTTCAAAATATCCAAGTTTTGGAAATATGTACAGTACTTTTAACACAAAAAAAATCCAGACTTTCATGTGGCAATATCACAATCATCTCACTTAGTTCAGAACATTCTTTTTCAAAACTGTGTTAGAAAACATTGTTCTCATAGTAATGAAGTAAAACCGCTGAAATATGAAAACTTTCACAAGTGACTTACAGAAGTTTCACCAGCATCATCCTCCTGTGCATCCTATTTGCAAAGAAAGCATCACATTGGTGATTCTGGAAACTGCTGCCTTTGAGCAAGGGCCTTGTTGCTCAGTAATCGTTGCTGCTGTTGTAGAAACTGGACAACTTCTGGACTTCTCAATAATGACTAAAAATAAATGTAATTACATTACTCATCAAAAAATATCAAATACTGTTGCAGTAATAGTTTTTTTGTACTCTATTACGGATTTTTAAAAATCTAAGTAGAGTTGTTGTACTGCAAACTTCTCATCCAATATTTCACATCAAAAGCCAAATTCAGCCCTACCATGATCACAACAGAAAGCTAAGCTTGAACAGCACGATTGGAAAATAAATGTTAGTATTACAGCCACATTTCTGATTGAACTCTTCAAACTTTCTGAAAGCAAAATTACTTTTTGTTAAAAAAAATCAAAACAATGCTGGGACCCAGTCTACAAACATGCATAAGTTGTGACATTTCCATTTCTTTACTAGCTGATTGATTATTATGGCAAATTGCACCCTTAAAACAAACTACATGGAGGAACTATTCAAAACATTAAGAACAGTATTTTTGGTCCAGTAATGTGCACAACATTTTAAAAACTTAGCAGCACAGGCCATTCAGTTCAATAGAATAGTGTAGCTTTCCGTGCCTTACACAAATCTGCCACATTATTTTATAGCACTGTAACACCACCACAAAAGGCAAGTATCAAAATAAGCCAAGGTGTCCAAATCCTTTCAGAGTGAGCTTCAGAACAAGAGTGCAACCTGTATAATTAAAACCGCAGATTTCATGCAGTTATCCTCCCATTAGAATGTGTGCATTAGAATGGATATCACAGCATAGTAACAGTCTTCTGTTCCCAGTCAGACTTGCACATCAGGAATGAACATCTAATCAAGAGGTTTTTCATTTTATTCATTCACGTTATGTGGGTACTGCTGACTAGGCCACCATTTATTGCCATTCCCCGAAGGAGTTGATGAGCTGCCTTCTTGAATCATTGCAATCCCTGTGGTGGAGGTTCACTGGCAGTGCTGTTAAGGAGTGCCAGGATTTCGACTCATTCACAGTAAAGGAATACGAGAATACTTCCACATCAGGATGCTTGGAGGGAATTTGCAGGCGGTGGCAGTGTTCCCATGCATCTGCTGTCCTTGTCCTTCCAGGTGGTAGAGCTCACAGGATTGGAAGACGCTGTCAGAAGAGCCTTGATAAGTTGTCACAGTGCAACATGTAAATGAGATACACTGCTGCAACATTTCTCACTGGAGATGGACATTGCCTGGTACTTGTGTGGCATGAATGTTACTCGCCACTTATCAGCTCATATTTATGCATATGGATCTGACTTTTAGTTAAGTGACAATTTTGTTCCAGATTATCATTTCTGAAAGCATTTACATCATAAAGGTAAAACAGTCTGTATTTGCTGGGCTTTTCCTTTAAACAAGCGTATAAACTAGGTACAAATTTCAACTAGTGGAGAGCTTGCCCCCCTGATTCCCATTGACTTCAATCTTGTAGGGCTCCGTAGGTCGCTGTACTGGAACAGATTAGCTTGAGGCACAGGCTGTTTTGCAGCACAAGTCTTCAGCACTTTTGCCAGGCCCATAACCTTTGCAGTATACAGTGCCTTCAGCCATTTCTTCAAATCACATGATTGAAACGAACTGGCTGAAGACTACAAGAGGAGGTCGAGACTGATCACTGAATCAGCACTTCTGGCTGAAGATGGATACAAATGCTCCAAGCCTTGTCTTTTGCGTTGAGGCACTGGGCTCCCTATTAATGTGGATGCAGATACTTGCAGAGTCGCTTCCTTAATTATCCACCGTTATTCACAACTGGACGCGGCAGATCTGCAAAGCTTAGATTAGATCTATTGGTTGTGAGATTGCTTGTTCCAACTATTGCATGCCGCTTCCACTGTTTTGACATACAAGTAGATCTGTACTGTATCTTCACCAGGTTAGTATCTCACTTGTAGATCATGGAATTCCCATTCTGACAGCATTGAGAGTGTTCCCACATCCCAAGGACTGTAGTGATTCAAGGCGCCCGTCCAGAGCAATTAGGGTTAGGCAATAAATGCTGGTCTAGCCAGGGATGCCCACATCCCATGAACATGTAAGAAAAATTATTTCCAAGTTTATATCACTTAGGACTGGTTCACAATTTTTGGCACATTTACTCCATTAAGAAATTTTTCTTGTTAATCCAGGTTTCTACTGATTACCCTCATATTCCTCAGTTAAATGTTGCTTATTAATAATAGTAATTTTTGTGAAATTTTAAAATTAATTAGCTGCTTTTTCAAACTTTATGCTCTCATTCATTTCTGAATAGTCAAATAAATTAAATTAATCCATCATTTGTAGAATTAATGATTCCCAAAGCAAATTATCCAAGTTGCTCAACAAATTTTTTTTTTTTTTTAAAACTTATGTTTACTGATTGATTTTTAGTCATGCAGACGAAGGAGGCTCCAGGTTTTATATTTATCTGTGCTAGATAATTGATTCCAGCCAACCAGGTTGGCAGGAATTAGGGTGCTAAGCTGGCCTTAATTCGACAAATTTCAGAGGAAGAAATGAGAACAAAATAAACAGCTAACCAGAAACCCTGTTTGCTGTCCAGAATCTGGACCACACCTCAATGGATTTTCTTGTGATCCATGTCTGAACTCACCAAAAGAACCAACTATAGATCCAGGGGAACAGTAGAGAGGGTCACTCCAGTTGCTAGACTTTTCCACTACTTGACCATGACTGACAGCCTTGGAGAGGGCCATCTGTAGCCTAAAGACTTTCCTTGAGTGGTGGATATATACAGTAAAAATCAAACAAGATGCTAAAGTCTTCATCTAGTTTTACTGTATGCTTCTTATAGGTGATTGAATCTCATCAGACTGATTTAATCCTGGTACCTTCCCCAGATTGAAGAGGCATTAGTTGCACTAGTCTATTTCTGTGCACCCAACTCCATGCATACACATTCCATTAAATTTGGTTATTCAAGAGTCTAATGTTGAAAAGGGGATATCTACAAGTCAGCCATTTATCAAGGGTTCTGAGACTGTACTGCTAAAGTTACAGCAGAGAAACAGGAGAATCCTTGTAAAAATTCAACTATCCTCATCAGCTGCAGAATATTGAATTTCCCATGGAGTTCGCATCAGTTCGACTTTGAATTTATGGTGTTAACACTTCACAATTTCAAGCATTTATTACTGATTGGACTTTACAGACTAGGTACACCCAAGCATAATAGATTAGATCAGCAACTGTGATATACACAGAGTGTACTGAATAGTATCTCCATAAAGTGAAAACAGAAAACGGAATCGTATTTGAACAGAGTAGTATGACAAGAATTTATCACTTACAAAATACAATATACATTTTCCTCAAAATAAAAGAATGAAATAATTCCCATCTTGCTGTGTAAAATATAGGAATATTAAACCGGCACAGAATTGCTTCAACACACAGGAAACAAATACAGCAGATACAGTTATATCAGATAAATAAAACAAATGCAACCTTCACAAGAATACCTGTTAGCTGTCTGCCCACATATGGGTGAAATTAAGGGATTGACAAAAACACTCACCAATCTCTTTTGGCTTAAAACTTGCTCAAGGAGGCTGGCTTTACGGCTCGTTTGATGCACTATCATACACCTCAAACGCTGTTTGCTGGCAGATGTAGGTCTTTCATCTGTATCATCCTGTGGAGAAATGAGGACACATAAGTGCTTTACAATTAAAAACATCACCTGCCACTAAACATCCCATTTAGTCATTGTTCCAGCCCATAATGACCTTTCACTGACCTCTTTCAAGGAAATCAATCTTGTTATCTCTTCAAAACCTGAAATAACTCATTTTTCCAAACACTTCAAAATGTAAATCCTCAAAATATCAAAAAATGAAATGGCTTCAAAGCAGTGATATTTTGCACTACAAGTTCCTGAAAGTGCAGGGATTAAATGATGTGACACTGTCCGGAAGAGGGCATCTGGGATATGAATGAATAAGACAAGCACTGTAAACACCTATAATCAATTTAACACCGTAAAGACCAAGAAGGAACTGCAAGTTGGAAATCAATGAAATCAATGCCAAATCTGGTGTAGGAAGAGAAATTAAGATAGGAAGGACTTTTTAAAACATCACCAACAATTAAACTTGAAGGAATGAGGCTCCACACTTTAATTTTTAGTGCCAGAAACAATGAATGGCAATCATTAACACCTAATGCTCTTAACTGAACGCTTGCACTTAGAATCGTTGGACCAAGATATCTGTAGTGAGTTTATTGCCATGTAAATAAATAACAAATGTGAATTTATGAGAACCTTTCACCTTTTTGGGATATCCCAAAATACTTTACAGATAATTAAAGTACTTTTGTAATGTAGGGCATGGGCACCCAGTTTCCATACAGGTCTCAAACAGCATTATAATAATGAGCAGATTCTTCTTTAAAGTGATGTTGGTGAGGGTCAGGACACAGGAGAATGCTACTGCTCTTATCTGAAATAGATTTGTGGGCATTTTTTTAAACATTCACCTCAGATGGCAGACAATACCTTGGTTTATTGTTTCAGCTAAAAAGGCAAATGCATAATGTTCAATGCATGTCAGTGGTATGGAAAACAATGAAAACAATTAAACAAAGCAAACAGCTGAGTGATGCACCTCAGATATAATATTTAGCTGTTCGTATTGAACAATGTTTTTTTTCCCTTATCTGAAGGTGTTTATTATTTCAACATAAATAACACCAAACATCTGTGGCCTCATTTTGACTATGGAATCTGATGCCCGAATTGACTTAAAAAGGAGAATTATTCAATGTTTGCTTCACAGTTAGTGCTAGCCTGAGCAGCTGGCAAGAAAATCAATTCAATAAAGCAATTCAAGATGTGATCATGAAAATTGTTGGATTAAAATACTGCATTCAGAAAAGCAGCAAACACTTTTTTTTGTACGGTGCAAGGCAAAGTGGACGTTTTGGTGAACCAGGCAGGTGGATTGCAGCAGTTCAAGAAAGCAGCTCACCACCACCTTCTCAAGGACAACTAGAGACGGGCAATAAATGCTGGTCAGCCAGCGACGCTCACATCCCACAAATGAATAAAAAAATTTCAAATAAAAATTATAACTATAAATTAAGACTGGAAATAAAGAAATTTAAGATTATTATTCACGAGATTATTTGAGGTTACATTCATGCTTATGCATTTTTGTTTTAAAGTTATTGAGATTGAGATCTCATCACTATTGACAAAACCACTGACCAAGTTCAACTCTTGGGTCAGGCTGGAGTATTGGGCGATATTAATGCACAACAGCTAACTCAACAAGCCTGAGCTGGAAGGATTAAAGGATGGTGGTATTTAACTTAATTTGTACTCCAGCACATGCTGATATAAAGCAAACATTATAAAGAAAAGCATTTGCATTTAAACAGTATCATATATTACATTTCATTAGCAGTCTGAAGGCACCTTACAGCACAACCAATAAATTATTTTAAATATGCCACAGTTTAGTGATCACAAGTTCAAATCTCACTATCGCAAGAAAATGAATTCAACAAATCTGCTAATCTATGGTCAGATGCCATTAAAGTTTCAGCTATCATAACAATAAGAAACAATAGAGGTACTATATATTATTGTTTGTCCTCTACAGGCCAAATAGTAGGAAAGATAGAAACAAAGTTCTGGGAAAATGAGGGAAATGGAAATATTATTCAGTAGAGTCACAGAGCTGCACAGCGTGCAAACAGACCCTCCAGTCCAACTCGTTCATGCCAACCAGATACTCTAAATTAATGTAGTCCCATCTGCCAGCATTTGGGCCGTATCCCTCTAAACTCTTCCAATTCACATACCCAACCAGATGCCTTTTAAATGCTGTAAATGTGCCAGCACCACTTCCTCCAGCAGCTCATTCCATACACTCCCCACCCTCCCTGTGAAAACTTTACCCCTTAGGTCCCTTTTAAATCTTTCCCCTCTCAGCTTAAATCTATGTCCTCTAGTTTTGGACTCCCCTACCCTGGGGAAAGACCTTAGCTAATCACCCTATCTATGCCCTCATGATTTTATAAACTTCTACACGGTCATCCCTCAGCCTCCAACGCTCCAGGGAAAATAGCCTCAACCTATTCAGCCTCTTCCTATAGTTCAAACCCTCCAACCCTGTCAATATACTTGTAAATCTTTCCTGAACCTTTTCAAGTTTCACAACATCCTTCCTACAGCAGGGAGACCAGAATTGAATTCAGTATTCCAAAAGTGGCCTAGTTAATGTCCTGTATAGCCGCAACGAGACCTCCCAACTCCTACACTAAATGCACTGGCCAGTAAAGGCAAGCATACCAAACACCTTCTTCAACTATCCTGTCTACCTATGACTCTATTTCAAAGAACTATGAACCTGCACTCCAATGTCTCTTTGTTCAGCAACACTCCTCAGGACCTTATCATCAAGTGTATAAGTCCTGCCCTGATTTGCCTTTCCAAAATGCACCACCTCACACTTACCTAATTTAAACTCCGTCTGCCACTCCTCAGCCCACCGGCCCATCTGATCAAGGTCCCGTTGTACTCTGAGGTAACATTCTTGGCTGTCCACGACACCACCAACTTTGATGTCATCTGCAAACTTACTAACCATACCTCCTATGATCACATCCAAATCATTTATATAAATAACAAAAAGCAGTGGACCCAGCACCAATCCTTGTGACACACTGCTTGTCACAGGCCTCCAGTCTGAAAAGCAACCCTCCACCATCACTCTCTGCATCTTCAGTCGTTACAAGTTATTATATTAATATAGACAGAGAGTAGTGAAAAGGGTAGGATGGTGGTGAAAGAGTTTGCGTGTGTTTGAGAGTTTCTAGGTCAGTATGTTTCTAGTGTAACCAATCTTACTGTGGGGAAGGTAATCAATTGTCAGCAGGAGGCCATTCAGGGAACAGTGATCATAACATCATAAGTTTTGTGCTAGTTAACAGAAATGGAGCAATTCAGAGTAAAAGTAATTAATTGGGAGAAAGGCCAAATTCAACGGGGTTGAATAGATCTGACTCAGGTAAACTGGGAACATGCAATTCTGAATTTGGTGATGTGTCATGAGACAGACGTGATCAGGGAGCTTAAGGTGAAAGAAACCTTTGGGGGCAGTGACCACAATATGACAGAATTCACTGGAGAGGGAGAAGCTGGAATAAGATGTAATGGCATTACAATTGAGTAAAGTTAATTGCAAAGACATAAGGGAGGAACTGTCCAGAGTTGATTGGAAGGTTAGCCTAGCAGGGAAGAGGTTGAAACAGCATTGGCAGGAGTTTCTGGGAGTAATTTGGGAGGCAGAAATTAATCCCAAGGAAGAAGAAACATGCTATGGGGAAGATGAGGCAACCATGGCTGACAAGGGAACTCAAGGATAGCATCAAAGCAAAAGAAAAAGCGTACAACATGGTGAAGATTCGTGGGAAGCCAGAGGATTGGGAAGCCTTTAAAATCCAGCAGAGGATAAATAAAAAAAGCAATAAAGAGGGAGAAGACAAAATTGAGAGTAAGCTAGTGAGTAATTTAAAAGAAGATTGCAAGAGTTTTTCTTAGATATAGAAAAGAGAGAGGCAAGAGTAGATAATGGATTGCTGGAAAATGAGCTGGAGAAATAGTAATGGGGAACAAAAAAGTGTGGAGGAACTGAATAGGTACTTTGCATCAGTTTCCACTGTGAAAGACACCAGCAGCATACCAGAACATCGAGACAGTCAGAGGGCAGAAGTGTGTGTAATGGCCATTACTAAGGAGAAAGTGCTGGAGAAACTGAAAGGTCTGCAGGTGGATAAATCCTGCAGACCAGATGAACTAGACAAATTCTGAAGGAGATAGACATTGATAATGGTGTTTCAAGAATCACTGGAGCAGGGTTCCAAAAGTCTGGAAAATGACTAATGTAACACCCTTGATAAAGAAGGAAGGGAAGCAGAGACAGGAAAATACAGAGATAGTAGGAACTGCAGATGCTGGAGAATCTGAGATTACAAGGTGTAGAGCTGGATGAACACAGCAGGCCAAGCAGCATCAGAGGAGCAGGAAGGCTGACGTTTCGGGCCTAGACCCTTCTTCAGAAATGCCATTCAGAAATGACAGGAAAATACAGGCCGGTTAACTTGACCTCAATCATAGGTGAGATTTTAGAGTCCATTATTAAGGATAAGATTGTGGAGTACTTTGAACCACATGGTAGAATAGGGCTGAGTCAGCACACTTCATCACGAAGGTCATGTGTGACAAATCTGAGGAAGTTAGACAAAGGAGATCCAGTAGACGTAGAGTCATAGAAATGTACAGTATGGAAACAGACCCTTTAATCCAACTTGTTTATGCCAATTTGATATCCTAGACTAATCTAGTCCCATTTGCAAGCATTTGGCCCATATCCCTCTAAACTCTTCCTATTCATGTACCCATCCAGATACCTTTTAAATGCTGTAATCCTACCAGTCTCCACCACCTCCTCTGGCAGCTAATTCCTTACATGCACCACCCTCTACGTGAAAAGTCCCTTTTAAATCTTTCCACTCTCACCTTAAACCTATGCCCTGTAATTCTGGACTTCCCTACCCTGGGAAAAAGACCTTGGCTATTCACCCTATCCATGCCCTCATGATTTTATAAACCTCCAACGCTCCACGGAAAATAACTCCAGCCTATTCAGCCTCTCCCTACAGTTCAAACCCTCCAACCCTGGCAATGTCCTTGTAAATCTTTTCTGAACCCTTTCAAGTTTCACAACATCTTTCCTATAGCAGGGAGACCAGAATTGAACACAGTATTCCAAAAGTGGCACCCTATATAGTCGTAACATGACTTCCCATCTCCTATACTCAATGCACTGACTAATAAAGGCAAGCATGGCAAAGCCTTCTTCACTACCCTCTATGCCTGCAACTCCACATTCAAGGAACTATGAGCCTGCGTCCCAAGATCTCTGTTCAGCAACATTCCCCAGAACCTAATCATCAAGTGTATAAGTCCTGCCATGATTTGCTTACCAAAATGTAGCACCTCACATTTCACGATCTATTTGGGTTTCCAGAAGACCTTTGACAAGGTGTCGCACAGAAGGCTGCTAAATAAGATAAGAACCCATGGCGTTAGGGCAATGTATTGGCATGGTCAGAGGACTAGCTAACTGGCAGAAGGCAGAGATTCAAGATAAAGGGGTTTGTTTCAGGATGGCAACCAGTGACTTGTGGAGTTCCACAGGGGTCAGTGTATGGACCACAACTATTCATGTTATATGTTAATGATCTGGGCTAAGGAACTGCGGGCATTGTTGCCAAGTTTGCAGATGATACACAGGTAGTTAGAGAGACAGGCAGTGTTCAGAAACTGCTCACAATGTTCCAAATGCGGTCTTACCATAGCCTTATATAGCCTCAGCAGTATATCTCTGCTCTTATATTTTAGTCCTCCTGAAATGAATACTACAACTGTATTTGCCTTCCTAACCACCAACTGAGCCTATATAGTAACTTTCAGATAATCCTGAACTAGAACTCTTAAGTCCCTTTGTGCTCAGATTTCCAAAGCCTTTCTCCATTTAGAAAATGGTCTATGCCTCTGTTCTTTCTACCAAAATGCATAACCTCAGTTTCCCACATCATATTCCCTTTACCACTTCTTTGCTCATTCTCCTAGCTCATTTGCAAACTTAGCAACAATGCCCTCAGGTCCTTCATCTAAATCATTAACGTATAACATGAATAGTTGCGTCCTCAACACTGATCTCAGTGGAACTCCACTTCTGCTTTTATTCTTATGGTCAAAGGTCTGCATCTCAGCAAGAAACTGAGAAACTTTTCGTTGAACACATAGAATCCCTACAATGTGGAAACAGGCCATTCGGCCCAACATGTCCACACCAATTCCCCGAAGAACATCCCACCCAGACCCAACCCCACACCTCCCACAGCCAATCCACCAAAACTACATAACCCTGGATACTATGGGCAATTTAGCATAGCCAATCCACCTAACCTGCACACCTTCAGACTGCAGGAGGCAACCCCAGCAGAATCCCACAGACACGGGGAGAATGTGCAATCTGAGACTGTAACTGAACCTGGGTCCCTGGCGCTGAGACTGCAGTGCTAACCACTGAGCGACCGTGCCACCCAAAAGAGAATTAGAATGGAAATAAAGCCCAAAATTAACTGTTAGCACAGCTTAGGTATTTTATGCTCATATAAGTTTTGTTTACGCTGACCATAGCCTGAATGCTCTTCTTCTTCTTGTATTTGTCTTTGTAAGTTTTGTTGCGGTGTTTTTTGCACATCCAAGGTTTCCTAGGTTTAGCCACCAGGTTGGTGGTTTCGGTACAACCCTGGTACACACATTTCCTGAACACCATCTCGCTGTGGCCGCTTTCTTCCTCCTCCTCTTCATCATCCTCCTCCTCCTCTTCCTCATCTTCCTCGTCATCTTCTAACTCCTCCAACTCTTCTTCTTCTTCCTCCTCCTCCTCCTCTTCATCATCGTCGTCGTCGTCGTCGTTCTCCTCTTCTTCTTCTTCCTCCTCCTCCTCCCCGTTAGCCTGCCTCGGACTCCCTGTGTTAACAGGAGGCTGCACGGCTTCCTCCGCTCCTCGGTCCTGACCAGTTTCGAAGACAGCCGCGTTCATAGCCACCGTGGTCACCTCCTGGTAGTTGGCGCTGTGAGGGGACACGGTGGTCGTCGTGGTGGCTGTCGCTGTTGCATCTTCGCTGCTCCGATCGCGCACGCTCTGGCCCTCACTCATCCCGACTCGCACACCGCCACTTCCCAGTGTAAACAAGCCACAACGAAGGCCCAGCCTCTGCACACCAACGCGCATGCCCAGAGGGCTCGTCCCGCCCATAGCCGCGGTGTGTCCAGGTCACTCCCCGCCCCTCTCCAGTACTCACCAATCAGCTGCGGCGGTCACGAGGATCACGTGGTACTCACACGCACCCTGGACGGTGGCCATCTTTGTAATGGAGAAGATGGTAGGAACTGCAGATGATGGAAAATCTGAGATAACAAGGTGTGGAGCTGGATGAACACAGCAGGCCAAGCAGCATCAAAGGAGCAGGAAAGCTGACGTTTCGGTTCTGATGAAGGGTCTAGGCCCGAAACGTCAGCTTTCCTGCTCGGCCTGCTGTGTTCATCCAGCTCTACACCTTGTTATCTCTTTGTAATGGAGAAATTCTGTTTCGGTTTCGTTGTTGCAGGATGGTCAGTTGTCGTAAGCCTTCCTGTTAGGCTTCATAGTTCATCACTTATAGAAATTTATAAAATAATGGGAGGAATAGATAGAGTTAATGATAGTTGTCTTTTCCCTAGGATGAGGTATTTCAAGACTGGGGGCACATTTTAAGATGGGAGGAGAGAGATTTAAAAAAAGACGTGAGGGGTAAATTTTTTACACAGAGGATGGTTCACGTGTGGAATGAACTTCCTGAGGAAGTGGGTACAGTTTCAACATTTAAAAGACATGTGGATAAGTACATGAATAGGAAAGGTTTGGAGGGATATGGGGCAGGACCAGGCAGGTGAGACTACCTTAGTTTGGGATTATAAAAACCGAAAGACCTACGGATGCTGTAAATCAGGAACAAAAACAGAAGTTGCTGGAAAAGTTCAGCAAGTCTGGCAGCATCTCTGAAGAAAAAAAATCAGAGCTAATGTTTCGGGTCCGGTTCTGAGGAAGGGTCACCGGACCGGAAACGTTAGCTCTGATTTTTTCTTCACAGCTGCTGCCAGACCTGCTGAGCATTTCCAGCAACTTCTGTTTTTGTTCCTAGTTTGGGATTATGTTCCGCATGGACTGGTTGGGCCAAAGGTCCTGTTTCTATGCTGTATGACTCTGTAACAATGACCTCTATTTGTATGTTCTCAGTATCTGCACTGTGTGAAGCAGCACCTGATATAGCTCAGGACCTTCAGGCATAGCAATCTGCACTTGTTGCAGGGAAATATTGAATTCATGAAGTGGCTGGCTTCTGCTTTCTCTGAAATTCTCATAATGTGCCCCTGCCAACACCATCCCAAACAGTTAGGCTCCAGATCACAGCCATGAGTGATTAATAATTGAAAGTTAATGTCAATTATGTCAACCACCTACATAACTTGCCTGCAAGTGAACTTGTATTGGAGGAATGGACATCCAAGAGATCATGATCCAGTGGCCAGTTCACCAAACAGAATGTCTTTGTGTATATGGCTTTCATTTATCCAGTCACCACGACTGAGCCAGAGCACATATTATTGATTTGGCAATGTATGTACGGTGATGGAGTTAGCACAAGGGTCACTAACAACCTTGTACATTTTAAGTTCCTCTTGTAACTTCATATTTTGTCCTGGGTCTTGTTCGTTGGCTCCTCGGGACACTACTTCTCAGGACAGTGACTGGGACATTGCTGGCTGGTTTCCTCTTGTTGCTGCCGATTTTGGAATTTGAACCTGGGCACTCGAAGGAAACTGAGCAGCGCAGCACAAGTATTAAGATGGCAGTAGTGGTCTGGCAGGCCTTGGGTGGGAAGGACGGATAAAAGCAGAGGTCAGAACCTGAGCCTCAAGTTGGGTCCAACTTTACTAGAATGTGAATCAGTGACTTGAGTGGGCCAGGATAGGGGTTGGGCAGACCGTATAGTGATAGGGGCGTGACTCAGGAAGAGGGGCTGCTGATTTAGTTAGTTAATGGAGGTGACAATGTTTTAGGGGGAAGAGGGTGAGACGCTGCTGAGATTGTGGGGATTGGGAAGAGGTTTTTGATAGAGGCAAAGTGCAGAGCATTGAGGAAACAGTGCATGTGTGATGAGGAGGCAGATTGTAAGAAAAGTATATTATGTTTGGAATACTGCAAGAGTCATGTTTTTGTTGTTGAATAATTTCCAAATCTGAGTTCTGTAGTCCTGCCAAATGCAGTCATGAATGGTCTTGGACAATTAAACAACTCACTGGAGGAGGCTCCACAAATATCCCCATCCTTAATGATGGAAGAGCCCAACAAGTCAGTGCAAAAGACGAGGCTGATACACTCCCAGCAAGTTTCAGCCAGAAGTGCTGAGTGGAGAATCCATCTTGGCCTCCTCCAGCAGTTCCTAGCATTATGGATACGAGTCTTCAGCCAATTCGATTCACTCTGCATCATATTGAGAAACAGTCAGAGGCACTGGATACTGCAAAGGATAGTGGCACTGACAAAATTCTAGCAACACTGTAGAACTTGCTGCTCTCCTAGCCAAGCTGTTCCAGTACAGCTTCAGCACTGGCATCTACCCAACAATGTGGAAGATTGCCCAGTTGTATCCTTTGTACAAAATGCAGGACAAATACAGCCTGGCTGATTACTGCATCGTCAGTCTACTCTCGAGTATTAGTAAAATTTCGGAAGGTGTCATCAACAGTGCTATCAAGCAGCACTTGCTCAGCAATAACTTGCTCAATGACACCCAGTTTGGGTTTTGCTAGGCCCACTTAGCTCCTAACCTCATTACAGCCTTGGTTCAAACATAGACAAAAGAGCTGAATTCCAGAGGTGAGGTGAGAATAATGTCTTTTACATCACAACTGCATTCAACCGAGTGTGGCACCAGGGACCCTGTGCAAAACTGGAATCAATAGTAATGGGTCGAGCTGGTTAGAGTCATACCTGCCATATAGGAAGATGGTTGTAGTTATTGAAGGTCAGCCATCTCAGCTCCAGAATATTTCCAAAGGAGGTTCCTCAGGGTAGTGTCCTAGGCCCAACCATCTTCAGCTGCTTCATCAATAACCTTTCCTCTAACATAAGGTTAGAAGTGTCGATGTTTGCCAATAATTGCACAATATTCAGCACCATTCACAACTCCTCAGATATTGGAGCATTCCCTGTTCAAATGCAACAAGATCAGGACAATATCCAAGCTTGGGCTGACAAGTGGTAAGCATCAGAAATGCCAGGCTATGACCATCTCCAATAAGAAACAATCTAATCACTGCCCCTTGACATTCAAAGGCATTACTGTCACTGAATCCCAACTGTCAACATTCTTGGCATTATCATTGACGAGAAACTCAACTAGTCACACCACAGAGATACAGTAGCTACAAGAGCAGGTTAGAGGCTAGGAATACTGTAGCGAGTAACTCATACCTGAATCCCCAAAGCCTGACCATCTAAAAGTCTGGAGTGGGGCTGAATATTCCCCATTGCCTGGATGGGTGCAGCTCCAACAACACACAAGAAGCTTGAACCCATCCAGGTCTCACTAACTTGATTTAACTTTTTTGAAGAAGTGATGAAGAAGATTGATGAAAGCAGAGAGGTGGACATTGTCTATATGAACTTAAGTAAGGCGTTCAACATGGTATGCTAGATCTAGCCATTTGTATACAAAATTGGGTCTAAAGTAGGAGACAGAGGGTGGTGGTGGTGGAGGGTTGCTTTTTGGACTGGAGGCCCGTGACCAGCGACCAGCGGTGTGCTGCAAGGATTGGTGCTGGGTCCACTGCTTTTTGTCATTTGTATAAATGACTGGATGTGAATATAGGAGGTATGGTGAGTAAGTTTGCAGATGACACCAATTTTGGTGGTGTACTCATTGGTGAAAAATGTTACCACAGAGCACAACAGGACCTTGATTAGATTGGCAAATGGGCTGAGGAGTGGCAAATGGAGTTTAATTTAGATGAATGTGAGGTGCTGCATTTAGTAGATGAAATTAAGGCAGGATGTAGCACTTAATGGTAAGATCTGTGGAGTGTTCCCGAACAAAGGGACCTTGGGGTGCAGGTTCATAGTTCCTTGAAAGCAGAGATGCAGATAGACAGGGCAGTGAAGAAGGCATTTGGTACACTTGCCTTTATTGATCAGTGCATTGAGTATAGGGAGGTCGTGTTGTGGCTGTACAGAAAATGTGTTAGGCCACTTTTGGAATACTGTGCTCAGTTCTGGTGTCCCTGCTATAGGAAAGATGTTATGAAACTTAAAAGGGTTCAGAAAAGATTTTCAAGGATGTTGCCAGGGTTAGAGGGTTTGAGCTATCGGGAGAGGCTGAATAGGCTGGGCTATTTTCCCTGGAGCGTCGGAGGCTGAGGGGTAACATTATAGAAGCTTATAAAATCATGAGGGGCATGGGTAGGGTGAATTGTCAAGGTTTTTCCCCAGTCTAGAACTACAGGGAACAGGTTAAGATGAGAAGGGAAAGATTTAAAAGGGACCTGAGGGGCAGCTTTTGCACACAGAGGGCAGTGCATGCATAGAGTAAGCTGACAGAGGAGGTGGTGGAGACTGATACAATTACAACACTTAAAAGGCATTTGGATAGCTATATCAATAGGAAGGGTTTAGAGGGATATGGGCCAAATGGGACTAGATTAATGTAGAATATCTGGTCGGCATGGACGAGTAGGACCGAAGGGTCTGTATGATCTATGATCCCAATGACTTTATGACAGCCTGCTTGATTGGCATCACATCCCCAAGCATCTTGACCCTTCACCACCGATGCTCAACAGCAGCAGTGCGTACTACCTACAAGTTGCTCTGCAGAAATCCACCGAAGATCCTTAGACAACACCTTCTAAACCCACAACTACTTCCATCTCAAAGGACACGTGCAGCAGATAAATGGGAACACCACCTGCAAGTTCCCTTCAAAGCCACTCACCATCCTGACGTGGAAATATATCACCGTTGCTTCACTGTCACTGCGTGAAAATCCTGCAATTCCCTTTTTAAGGGAATTGAGTGTCAACATAACACATGTGGACTACACTGGCTAAAGAAGGCAGCTCACCAACGCCTTCTCAAGAGCAACTAGGGAAGGGTAATAAATGCTGGCCCAGCCAGTGAAGCCCACATCGCACAAGTGAATAAAAAAA